TCACTGTTCTTTTTAGACAGAAATAATATGCTGGAGAGATTTTCTTCTCTAGACGTAGAATAAATATTACATTTATTTGGTCATTAGCTTCTTCTGTCTTCCGAGGTTCCATCAGAATGACCCTTCATGACAAAAGGATGTCATTAATGCTGACAAAGTGCTCGGGTTTAATCATATGCACGACTCTGAGCTGGGGAGATTTCTCGCTCTGTCGCTAAATATGTAAATAGGATCATTTTGTGATAATTAGCAAATTCGAAAAAGTGAGACTCAAACAGATTAACATTTGCTCCTTGTTCAGATTTTGTGGAGTTGTACTGCCGTGTTTAATTCGGCATGGAATGTTAAATACCCGAGGTGTTGCAAATATTCATCTCTAATTTCCAGAAAATTCTCCAGGAAAGGCACGAAGATCTCTCAGGTACTGTAATACAGCACGAAAGATTAAATTCTCGGTTAATTGGCACATGAGGGCCCATAGAAAAGAAACATTTGCAAATGAAATCTCTTTAATATCTCCATCATTTCTCCCTGACAGCTGTGACATGGAGGTGAAGAGCAAATAAAGACCTGTATATCAGATGTTTCTCCTGAGAAAAAAGACGCACAATGTTGCAAACATGAATTTTCAAAGTCAGATGGTAAGATCTTTGTATGAACTCAAACATTTCTCTTGAGGTTTTTCCAAGATTAAATCTGAGCTATGTGTTTACATACAATTTTATAGCTCTGTGCTCTTATCGCATGTCACATTTCTTTGTTTTTATTTCTATTTATTATCATTTAAGGAGAAATGTCTGTCTCTTTAGGAGAAAAGTTGATACTTTAAAGAGACAGTTGAGAACTGAGACAAGACTGGAGTTATGGCTGCTGACAATTCAGCTTTGCATCATATAAATAAATTACATTTGAAAATATACTGAAGTTGAAAACATTTATTTTAAATTATAATAATATTTAACCGTATTATGGTTTTCCCTGTAAGTTTGATCAAATAAATACAGCAATGATGAGCACAAGAGACTTTATTCAAAAACCCCAACGTTTTAAATTAAAGTATACAGTATTTTATACATTGAGGGAAAGGGTCACCCCAAATTTCCAATTTCCATCAATCACTTCTTAACCTTTAGGTCCCCCTAAAATTTGTTGGTCATGCTCTCTTCTTTGTATGTTTCTTTCAGTGATTTGTGATGAAGACATTTGGATCATGTGCCACACAGCATTTGGGTGGAAATGCCACTTAAAAAAATGAGACCCAAATCAGTCACTCTGATCCATGACAATGGCTTTTTGTATATGGATTGCAGGTAAAAATTGTATTTGGTAAGCAAGACCATCTTATTATTTGCAACTGCAATTGGTACTGGAGTGAAATAATTCAAGTCAACATGAAATGACATTCACAACACATTTTTCTTTCATAATCTAACATAATTCCAAGTGAAACATGATGTGAGAGCAAAAATGTTGACAGACTTGATTTTATCCATTGGGATTTGATTAGATCATGATAATGGAGGTGGTTGGAGGGGTCAATGAAAAGTAAGAGGGATGTGTGATTTGTGTCAGTGAGAGTCATTTTAGAGGGGAAGCAAGTAATTGGATTTTGATAAAAGACAAGGTTTTTTATTTGTAATACAATTCACCATTGAGTTGTGCACAATAAGACGAAAAAACAAAGGGTCAATTTTGATTCCATGGCGACTTTAAGGAAAGATTACGAAAACAGTTTTTTATTTGGAATTTTGATTTATTTTTATTGATTTCATATTGACTTTAAGGAAACGAATAGCAGTCTCTGGCATTTCTGTCAGGTTTTGTTCTGGTGTGAGAGCGTATGTGTAGCGTCACACTCTCTGTCGGTCTCCGGGGCCTCTGGTCCCTTGATCCCCAGCCTCTTCAAGCTCTCTTGTTTCAGCCCAGCAGCGTCTCTGGAAAATGATGGGATGTGGAGAACGTCCCTCCCAGCCCCCTTTAGCACTGGACAATGGAACCTTAAACCCTAGCAGCACGACATCGTTTTGAGCTGTGCCTTGAATAATTTAACCCTATTGCATGAGGCGAAGAATGTAAAAAAAACTCGATGTCTTGACGATTGAACAAAACTGATTTTAACAGTCTTATTAATAGTAATACTTAATTCACTTCTCTTGTAGGCCAAGGTGTTTTGTTAAATAATGTAAATCAACCTAAATCAACAAATTTGGTGCCTTTTTAAGCTTTCATTTGATGTGTAACTTGATTTGCATTTCCCAAAGGAAGTACCAGTGCATGCAAAACTGAAAAACTAGTTTTAGCTGAATTTATACTTTAGGCTTTGGTTCTGTGTAAGTAAAATGCCGCTTTGCCATTGACAGGGCAATTTTCATTCATTTTTCATTCTCTCTGTTTTACTTTCAGACAAATACAGAAAGCATTTTAGCATTAATGGAGCAATATAAAGAGCAATTGATGTGCATCAGGTGCATATTTAATGCTTTTCCTTTGTTATTTTTACATCTACAAAATAATGAATACAGAATGCACATTGGGTGTGTTTAACACAACCTCATGGCAGTTTGTAACTATATGACATTTTGGCAAATTGGTGGCTAATTTGTATTCTCTTTTTTTTTTATTAAAACTATTTTTTGTATGATTCACATCATATGAATTTAATTTATGAAGGTGCTGTATACTAAAAATGTTATATATTCTATCATAATTGTACAAATACAATAATTTTTTGAACATGCAACTTTTTTATTGTAAATTAAAATGTAATAATAATAAATATCAATTTCAGGAAATTTACCATCAATACAGATCCATTGTGTCCACCATGTTTTCTTACTGATGTCCCCAGAAAAAGTTTCCCCACTCATAATCATGACGTTATATAGAGAATGATGGGAAGTATGTGACCCTGGTCCACAAAACCAGTCATAAGGGTAAATTTTTTGAAATTGATATTTATACATCATATATAAATAAGCTTTCCATTGACCTATGGTTTGTCAGGATAGGACAATATTTGGCCGAGATACTTCAACTATTTGAAAATCTGGAATCTGAAGGTGCAAAAAAAAATCAAAATATTGAGAAAATCGTTTTTAAAGTTGTCCAAATTAAGATCTTAGCAAAGCATATTACTAATATATAATATATATTACTAAAATATACCTGTGCTGCTTATGACTGACTTTTGGTCCAGGGTCACATAGTTTCGTCATGCACATACATTATCACATATATTATATATTATGTTCCTATTTGTTCTTCATTAGATGATTTTCTGAAACAGTCAGAACTTTGTCAAAGGATAAGATTCATCACAAAAGCAAATAATTGCCAAGAAATGTTACAGTGAAAACCACAACCTTGTATGCAAATATCACAGTGAAGTAGAGTCAATGGGGGTTATGTGCAACAGACGTTTTATTCTGTAAATCAGCGTCAGGTCTTTTCTGTGTGCTACGTTAAATATGAAGCTGTTCTACTTGAGATGCCTTGACAAGAGCTACCAAAGAAGAGCATATTGCATGTGTGGGTTGACATCTAAAAGTTTTTTATATTTCTTCTTCTTCCACTAACATTCGGATATGAAAATTAATTTAAAAAGTAACAATAAAAAGAACTAGCTGGTTAACTGACAGCATAGCTAGCTGACATGTAGTTGCAAAGTTACGTATCGTTAGCATAATGTGTGGTGACACTTTGGATTAGGGAACACTATTCACTATTAACAAGTTCCTTATTAGCATGCACATTAGCATATTGGCTGTTTATATTAATGCCTTATTCTGCATGACCAAATCCCTACCCAATACCTAAACATAACTACTACAGCAACAACCTTGCTTACTATCAACAAGCAGCAAATTAGGTGTTTATTGAGGGAAACATTTAGTTAAAGGGTTAGTTCACCCAAAAATAAAAATTAGGCTGTGTTTTACTCACCCCCGATGCATCCTAGGTGTATATGACTTTCTTCTTTCAGACGAATCCAGTCGGAGTTATATTAAAAATGGTCTTTGATCTTTCAAGCTCTATCGTTGTAATTTTTATTTTTGGCTGAACTAACCCTTTAATAGTGAATATGTGTTCCCTAATCTGAAGTGTGACCATGTGTCTAAAGTGGACTATCGAAATAAAATGTAACCGTAATTAATTGTGAAATTTATCTCTACACCATTTTTTCCAGTGTAGTAGCTATGGGCTAAACTGAAAATAGCAGAAGTTTAATGCTTAAGAGTTAAGGGTTCAGAACAAACCCTATATGTAGGGTGGCCATATGTGATGTTCATACGGGACACGTCCTGACCAGGATTTTTATATTGCCTAAAATATCCAAAGTAGTTTGACCAATAACATGCAGGTATTGTATATAATCGACCAATCATGGCGCGTGAGAAGGTGAGATCTACAGAGAACGATCAAAGCGATGCAAATACGCGCGCGTGTTTGTTCGTTCGTTCGACTTGAAGCGTCGCTGCGCACCGATCATTAAATGACACCAGAGTAACGCGAGAGCGATTCCAAATCATAAGGAGCCGTCTGCTCTGCTCTCTATAGCTCTCCTGAATGTCATACAACGATCGATCTGCACAGTGCAAACAGCCAAAACCTGGATATTTTAGGCAATATAGAAATCCTGGCAAGGGTGCGTCCCGCAGTGTTGCCAACTGCTTTCAATTGAAAGTAGCTAAAACAGGTAGCTAAATGTCACTAGATGACATCATAATGGCAAATTCACTGATCTATATAAAGGTGAATGTAGATCAGTGGGCAAGATGAGAACTTAGATAAGGTTTGTCCAAGAAGTTGCTATATTTGTCCCTAAACTTTTGAAAAAAGTCTCAAAAGGGGCGGGGAAGTCGCTAAATCTAGCTACAAAGTAGCTAAATTGGAAACACTGGCGTCCCGTAAAAATGGCCCCTATGGTCACCCTACCTAGGCTATATGTCATTTAAGTGCTGCCTTGCAAGCAGTATAATTAGCGGTTTATATTCTAAAAATTATGCTTCACATTTTATCCTGGCAAATTTTTAATTCCACCTTTACTTTCCGTACCGTATTTCTGACTTTCTATCACCACCACAGTGATTTTATGAACTCCTCAACAGAAAATATCACCCTTTTCACTCCCGATAACGAGGAGCGCTGCTGGCTGTTATTTCAGGGCTGCGAGAGAGAGAGAGAGAGAAGCGGCAGATGAGACACATTCAACCCGATTTGCCACGTTGTAATTTAGCTGTCAGAGGAAATGTCTGCACTCCTGCAGGACTGTCACAATTCAGAAAAATCATGTATGTCATGTCAATGCCAGTTAAGAGCGAAACCCGATCGGCTGTTTTGATGGGCCTGCCGAAGTTGAGTGACGCCAATATGCTGTCAGATTTCTGCTATAAAGCGCTAAACAGCCGTCGTTTTGATGGACCATTTTAGTAAGTAACAAGCTTTTTATTCTTTCAGCAAACTTTCCATCAAAGTGATGAGGGGAGTTTGACTGAATCCTGTACTTAAGTCATCATGATGGAGATTCAGACACGCCTCCAAAACAATTAGCCTAAATATGAATAAAATTTCACCGTTTCAATGCTCACACATTTTTAGGCATGGTCTAGACATTTTTAGGCTCGTTTTTTGTCTGCTTCAGTCAGGAAGGAACATAAATCAGGAAATAGTTTAACAAAATGTTTGTTTCAATGTTGTTCATTAGTCTGCGTTCATTTTTTAGTTTTTAAAGGAGTCCTGTAACTTTGTTTACGTCTCCTCCATGGTAACACATCATTTGTGTTCAAAAGGGAAAAGGGAAATTGCTTCAAATGAAGTTGATTAAATCCCAGGTGTTTGCAATAACCTGCTATGGATTTTCACGGAGGCACGTAATCCTGCGATAAACAAGTGGTAATAAAATGTTGAGAATGGAAACGTCTTGGGGGCACTGGATGCTGCTCCTTTAATGCGACATGCCTGCCGTTGTTTTGTGCAGGGTAATGTGCTCCGGTTAGATGGAATTATTAATAACAGCATCATTATCGTCAGCACAGCTTGTTCACATTATTCCTGTTTTGTCAGCATTGATGTAAAACGTATTTCTCACAACCCATGTTTAAATATTTGATCAAATGAATCCGTTTATACTGATGTCATTTCAACAATTATTTTCTGATTTCAGTGAAACACAACAGGAGATGCAAGCAGAATGTCCGAGAAGCTGTTTTCCATTCAGATGTTGGTTTATAATGCTAAGCTGCAGAAAGCATGGTAAAGTACCTTTAAAGTGATTCATGTGCTTTGTACAGTAGATTTTTTCAGCTTTGTACTGCATCACTTTTCAGTCGTGGAGAATCTGTGCCATCAATCTTCAGCTTCATGGCAAAATAAATGTATTTGAGTTCTGAATGTGAATTTGTAGTCTGAATTGAACGAAATGTAAAGCATGATTATGATTGTTAACATAGGCGGAGGCTGAACCAACTGCAGGGTAAGGCTAAAAGCAGCCAAATCTATTAACTACGAACATCATAAACCTGTCTTTTTAGCCAAGAACCAGACATGGGTGTCATGTAGGCTAATAAAATATGTTTAATGGGACTGAATTTGTATTTAGTGTGATTACAATGTAATTAAAACATTAGAAATTGATAATTAGCCTATAGCCTATAACGTTTCCTTCCCACGGTTATTCAAACGGCAAATAAATTATGTACAGAAATGACATTATCACTTTGATCTATCGCACTCTCAAAAAACAAAACTATCGTTATAATCACTGAAGCTGTCTACACGAAATTCATCTATTACTTGCATTGTACGTAGGCTACATCTGCGCTTTGTTGTTCATGATGAGAGAATTCGCGGAATTCAGTCATCGAACGTGCGCGCGTTCAACAAAGCTGATGAGTTTCAGCGATGACTCCTCTAAACGCCTCTGATTGGCCAATGCATTCCTAAGCTCAACAGAATCGTGTGTGATTGGTTATAATGCGCAACACGGTAAAAACGCCTCACTTAATTTAATGCGCAGTCGACACTTTCTATTCATTTACACTTTGTTAGCAACAGACGTAATAGATTTAACTTGTTTGTGCAGGGGCATTTTTCCCCCAAGACCCCGTGGTCAGGGGAAAGCTAAGCCTTGTCCCTAAGTCTTGCAGTTAGAAGTTTCTTGAATGACATGTGGACTTAAATCATGCACTTGAATGGGCACAATAAGCAATACATTCAATATTGTTGTTCATTTGATTTAAATGTTCATTTCATGTGATTTGAAAAAATGAACGTCTTTATTTAGTATGTGTAAATACGTTACAATAATCTGACATTAACTGTGATCTCGACTCGATTCATTAGTTATTAATCTACCACTTGTCCTTTATGTCTAATCCTATATTGTTAAACCAACATGGTTCAAATGCAGTCCCGGATTTACGTCTTTTCGTGACATAGGCAAAACAAATTTTTGGGCCCCCCTTCCCTATTAATATAATGGGCCTAATATTACCACCCAAGCAAACAAAAATATTTCTTAATCAGTGGAAATGTTATAGTGTTTTCTATCGCAATAAGCGCTTGCGTTCAGTCAATAAAAATCTAATCGAATGTAGTTCTTAATTTGTTTGAGATCTGACAAAGACCATTCCATTAATAGGCGCAACATACCACTTCAGGAGTTATTTCTCTAATAATTTTAACAGCCAGGAGTCACAACCACACATCAAGACATTGTTCAGATGATTTGTTTCAAGACATTTAACATGTTTCCGTCCTGAAATGTGTTGAACTATTTTTTACGCACTTCATCCCAAACCTTCCATTGAAAATTCCAAAACGTAATTTTAGAGCTAATAACAGTGGCTTGAGCCATTGATATGCAGGCTAATGCAGTTATTAATGCAGTCTAATGCAGTTATTAGAGAGAGCGAGAGAGAGATATTAAGCGCGTGTGAATACCTGCGTCTCTGTGCATCTCTCAGCAGTGTTCAGCAGCAGGGTCTACTAATAGCGAATCTTTAAGTTAAACTGCTTCAAGAACCTCCCTACTGAGAAATGTAATGTAGCTTTTCAGCTGCGAAACTATTTTATTGATAAATTCGCGGGGCGGCGTTGACGACAAGTTTCTGTCCGCGTGTGTGTGAGAGAACTGGAGAAAGCGTGATTTTCTGTACATAAAGAAGGTGGAAGACATGGAAATAGTTTGTAATTGTTTACCCTATTTGTTATATTTATTTGCTCAATGTCTTCTGATGTTTTGGTTCTTTTATTGTTGTAGATAGCCCATAGTATAACAAAATATTATATATCTCTTCATTGTGTTTGGGCCCCCCCTGGACGAGCGAGCATAGGCCCTGTTCAAATGATAGAGCTGTGACCATGTTACTATGCTTTTGCAAAACAGTCGTGACTAGTTGTTAGTTTCCCCCACTGATGCATCGCTCGTCGTCGTAGGGGAAACGCACCCCAGAGTGGTTAGTGAATCAACTTCTGACTCGCATACCAAATGCAAGTTATCATTACTTCTCTCAAAATGAGGCAACAGCTTGAAATATAAGTTATAATTGCATTTAAATGTACTTTTAAAGGTCGATTTCAGTCCAACTGAAGCAATAAGCAAAACTCCAACCCACACAGTTTCTCTCCCACTGTCTAATTCATGCCCGAACACTTTCCCCCTCCACCGTGAGAGCGCTCAGCATCCCGTGTTATCAACACAAAACTCTGAAAACACAAACTGCCTATCGGCGGCACGAAATTACACATTGTGACTTTAGAGCCGTTCTGCCGAATGGAGATGCGCAACACGCTGAGACAAACTGTGTCATTAACAAAGACCAACAGATGGCTGTTCTGGAAAGAGCCCAGATATGAGATACAACAGGCAGAGAAAGGAACTGGTTTGGGCCTGTAATGGCAAATTGTTCTCAATAAAATAGCTGTTGTGCTTTATGTCTGTGAGATCATTGATTTTTAGCAGATTGAACAGGTCACAAAACATTTTTAGATACTCAGATTTCTACAGAATCAATGCACAAGTCTCATGTTTATCAGATTGTGTGATCGTTTTCTTTGCAGTTCCACTTCATTATGTCAGGATGGCTGTAATTTTTTATACTGAAACTCTTTATTTGCTGATAATAATCACCTCCGCTGCTTTTCTGTCAAATATTGCAGCTATGGAGAAGGTTTGGTGGCATAGTGTTTGGTTATGAGAAACTCAAGAACTACGTTTGATGTTATTGACGTCCAACATACTGACGGCTAATATTTCATTATTATTAAATAACAACTCAGATTCTGGTCTGCTCATCACACAAAACTATTGTATGGCTTCTGGAGACTTCATTCATTATACTTTTATTATGTGTTTTTTTCTGCTAAATCACAGTAAATATTCTTTAAAATTATTTTTGTCTGTGTTCCACAGAAAGAAAAAAAAACTTTGGAATGACATGGAGGTGAGTAAATAATAACAGACTTTTATTAGGGTGCACTTGTCCTTTAATGGAGTGCAATTTCTATGCCAAACAGAATTGCAAAAACAGTAGTGACTTTTTAAAACAGGTTATAACCCTGTCCTCCATTGCTCGGTCAAACAAGGAATTTTGCCAGAGTTACAACGTCTGGTCTAGCTGTCTTTTTTTTTTTTTTTTGCATGAATATATATTGTCTTTGTTTTATTTATTTATTTTTCCAATAAATATTTTTGTGATCATTTAGTTGTTTTTATATTTAAAGATTTTATTATATTTGTAATATTTATTATGTTTGCTTTTATATTTATTATACATTTACATGTTTTATTATAGATTTTATTTTTTATATGTACTGTATGTTCAGGTCGCATTGCAAAATTCAAAACTTTTATTTATTTACCCTTGATTCTCATTGTTGTAATTTGCTGTTAATATATTTTTTAAAAACATATTGTAATTCACAATTTTTTCTTACCATCAATGGTCATTCTTCTTACCATTATTCTATTTTATTTAAATAAGCATCTATTAAAGACAGTACAAAAACTTTTATAATGCAAACAATTCTTTACAGATTAAATTAAATAATACATGATTTTTCTTCATGTTTCAGTAATGAGATCTTTTTTTTTTTCCCACACTCAAACATGCCCAGAAGACACATGCTCGTTATGAAATCAATGTGGCGCGGTTCATCCAGGGGGTTTAAATGCAGTTGCATGGTTATGTAAGACATCATAATCCGCTGTTACTATGGTTACCGCAGCCCCAACTGACTTTGGTGGTGCTTCAAGAAAGGTACGCATTCAAACCGTCACTCTCACAAAAGCTTGTCCCTTTGTTGCCAGTTGTCGTTGTCGGCGGATAAACGCAATATTGTGCGCTTGGCATCCCCTTTGTACCGTGGGAGCATCTTTCAGCGCTGTATCTAAGCACCCGTCCTGTTCTCTCCAACAATCTTGGGTACATGTTCAGTCTTATTTTAATGTAATATGCATATTGCACCTCAGTGGTGTAAAGTCTACGCCCTGATGCTCGGATCAGATGTTGTAGTGGTGGGAGGAATCAGATTGTGAGGCTTAATGTCTGTTTACAAAGACAAATGTGAGCAGTGTTACGTTATGTACAATATATTTTCCCTCTGAGGCTGCTAAGCCAATTTTAATGAAAACCCCAAAATGCAAAAATGGAAAAAAGGGATTTCCTTACGTGTTGGTGGAAAATATGGAAGGCCATTTCCACCACAGAATAAAAAATTTAACTATTTTCTAACTATTTTTCTCACAATTGAGTTGATATGTCTCAGAATTGTGATATATAAGCTGACAATTGTGATAAAGTCAGAACTGCTAGATATAAATTCTGATTTTTTTTTTCTCCCAATTCTGATTTTTTTCTCAGAATTGTGAGATATAAACTCGCAACTGTAAGTTTTAAAGTTAGAATTGTGGGATATAAACTAGCAAATGCAAGAAATAAAGTAAGAATTGCAAGATATATACTCATAATTCTGACATTTTTCTTGCAATTGCGACTATATCTCGCAATTCTGCCCTTTTTCTCAATTCAATTCTAACTTCTTTTCTTAGAATTGTGAGATCAACTCAGTTATAAAGTCCATTTGCGAGGAAAAAAGTCTGTTTTCTTACGATTGTGAGTTTATATCTTACAATTCCAACTTCATAACTCGCAATTGCATGTTATTAAGTCAGAATTGCAGGATATAAACTAGCAATTGTGAAAATTAAAGTAAAAAATGCGAGATATAAACTCGCAATTCTTTTTTTCTTGCAAATGCTACTTTACATCTCACATTTCTGACTTTTTTTCTTACAATTCTGACTTTTTCTCAGATTTGCAAGATATACATTCGCGATTGTGAGTTATAAAGTCAGAACTTTGGGATATAAACTAGTAATTTCAAAAAATTAAGTAATAATTGCGAGTTATAAAGTCCAATTGTTAGAGGGGGAAAAGTCTATTTTCTTACCATTGCGAGTTTATATCTCACAATTCTGACTGTTTTTCTCACCATTCTGACATTTTTCTCAGAATTGCAAGATATAAACTAGCAATTGCTAAAATAAAGTAAGGATTGCAAGATATAAACTCACAATCCTTTTTTTTTTTTTTTTTTTCAATTGCCACTTTATATCTCAATTCTGACTTTTTTTTTCTCAGAATTGCAAGTTTATATCTCACATTTCTGAAAAAAGTTAGAATTATTAAAGTCAGAATTATGACTGTATCTCACAATTATGACATTTTTCAGACGTAAAGTCGCACTTGTAAGAAAAAAATCTGAATTACCTAGATATAGAGATACAAAGTCGCAATTACCTTTATTATTTTTTATTCAGTGGTGGAATATGAATTTCCATAGAAAAGCATCTCACCTTGCTGAAAGCATTGAGAACACAGAGACACGGCTGTGCCTGAGCGGAATAAATAGTTTGTAGTATGGCTTTGGCGTTTCATTATTGTTCCTGTTGACAGAGACAATGAGCTTGGAGCATTGTGAGAGGAACAGCGACGCTGTTTGCGAGGTCTGAGGGGGCAGGAGACAAACTGTGCCGTGATGAAGATTTGACATGTGGAGGTCCTCTTATTTCCCTTCAGAGCGAGAGGCCTGTGTATATGCGTGCCTTTGTGTATGAAGGGCACGTCGGAAAAGGAAGTGAGAGGCTGAGGGAAGTATAAAAGAAAGATAAAGAGAAAGGTTGTGACTTATTGAACAGCCCGGGTCGAAATAAATGTGGAGGTCATACTGGAGAACAACGGTGATAATGATTTCAGAGACTTTGAGCACAAAGGCCGCATTCATATAGTGCGCTGACAAAGGACAGCTAATGTTGATTGAATTTGTTGTTGTTTTACAGTACAGAGGGCTTCTGACATTAGAGCTGTTTATACTGTCTTAGATATATTTTACATGACTATTGGAGCAAAGTACTATAGGTTATATGAAAGCGACAAAGAAATGAGTAATGGAAAAATTCAGAGCAATATAAGACATGGGAAAGCTTTTTATAAAAAATATAATATTGTCACGGTTGCACTACTGAGTGGAGTGAGGAGCAAGGAACGGAGGGAGACGTGGAGTACATCAATCCAGAGAATTTTAATATATACATGAACAATACTGGACGCTGAACTAAAAACAGGGAACACTCTGATCTGGCAGTTCGGGGCGCCATGGCGGATCTGGCAGACTCGGCATGGCGGAGCAGGCAGACTCGGAGGCCATGGCGGAGCAGGCAGACTCGGAGGCCATGGCGGAGCAGGCAGGTCAGGAGGCCATGGCAGAGCAGGCAGTTCAGGAGGCCATGGTGGAGCAGGGAACTCAGGGGCCCATGGCGGAGTAGGGAGCTCGGGAGGCCATGGCGGAGCTGCCTCCGAGGCCGCAGCCCCATCCCCTGCTCCGGCCTCTACGGTCTTACTACCCCCCCCAAAAAAAATACTTGGGCACGCTTACGGGCTCCAAGGCCCTCTCAGGGCCAAAACCGGGGACTGGAGCCCTCCCTGGGCTTAACTGGGGATCAGGAGCCCTCCCTGGGCTTAACTGGGGATCAGGAGCCCTCCCTGGGCTTAACTGGGGATCAGGAGCCCTCCCTGGGCTTAACTGGGGATCAGGAGCCCT